TCCAACTCTGGTGGAGGTATTCTGGTGGTAGCATCAGAGTTGCTCCAACTCTGATGGGGGTATTCTGATCGCGCACCAGAACTGCTCCAAGCCGTTGCAGCCATTAAATGCCCAACGTTCTTGTCTTTTAATGCAGCGTTAAATGGACAGTTTATGGATGAGTCAATGCCCAACGGATTGGTCATTGATGTACAACGTTCAGGTCCATTAACACCCCATTTAACACACAAAAAATCCTCCTATAAAAGGCTGGCAGGTGCTTTGCAACGAAAACACGGTTTGGACAACGCACAATAGATTCCTCACGAATTTCTTGAGATAAAAACACCTACATCTACTCTCAAATTCCTTCTGTGTTCATACCTGGTTCTCGTTCGTTGGAACTCTTGTTTGTGTGCTCAAACATTAGTTCGTAGTCATCGTAACCTGGGAAATGATTGTTGCAACGCTCCTAGCACTGTGGGAGGCAACAAATACGTTTTAAGGACATCGTGCGTAGCACGAGCTTTGACTAATTCTGCTTCATCTCCTTTCTTGTTTTTCTCTAGTCATTTTATTTAATTAATTTATTTTAATTAATTTTCTTTATTTTCCGAAACACACCCACCAAGACGTCATCGAACAATAAAGTGATTGACATGCATAAATTCTTTTTACTTAAAGAATAAAGAATTTGTAAGCTAAGTAGATATACTAGCAACCCCGATGATGAACACTGGAAGGCAATAATAAGGGTTTTGAGGTATTTACGTAAAACCCAAAATCTTGGACTGCACTATGGAAGATATTCAGCTGTATTTGAAGGGTATAGCGACGCTAGTTGGATATCTGACATAAAGGACTCTAAGTCCACAAGTGGATATGTTTTCACTTTGGGAGGTGCAGCCGTGTCATGAAAATCCTCAAAATAAACGTTAATAGCTAGATCCACGATGGAGTCTGAGCTAATAGCCTTGGATAAGTGCACTGAAGAGGCTGAATGGCTTCGCCATTTTCTCGAGGATATTCCAAGTTGGGAAAAGCTTGTCCCTCCAATATGCATACATTGCGATTGTCAAGCGGCAATTGGAAGGGTACAGAGCAATATGTACAATGGTAAATCTAGACACGTTCGTCGTAGACATAACACCATTAAACAACTCCTCACAACAGGTGTTATCACTGTTGACTACGTGAAGTCAAAGGATAACATAGCGGATCCGCTAACCAAGGCATTGGATAGAGAATTGTTGGAGAAGTGGTCACGAGGAATGGGACTAAATCCCGTGAATTGAAAAGTTCTATAGTGGATACCCAACCTAGTTGGTCCTAGGTTCAAAAGGGACAACTAAATTATAGAGCGAAAGATGGTCACTGTGGGGGTCCCGGACTCCTACCCACTCCTTGTTAAAACAGTGACTCCCGCACGAGGTTAGCAAAAACGTTTGCTTTAATGATTCTAAAATGTTGATCTACTCGATAACATTGGAAGAGTATGTGGGATACTCGTGAAAGAATCACCTATGTGAGAGAGAAGAGGGCCACTTCAAAGGAGAATTGTAAAGGCTCAGTTCTTTAGAAACTCTTGCAGAACCAGGACGGTGACCCATGGCCAAAACGGGCACACCCATGAGAACGGAACAAAGTTGGAAGGTTCTTGTGTAAAGATAAGTCAATGTTTACACGACGACTGTATAGTTCAAGGACATCGAGTCTACTAGACAGTCAGTAAATAAACGTGTCTTTACAACAGAAGGTTCAAAGGATAAAACCTACCTCTCCGTATGCAAGGATCATCCGGTGAACACAACGTGTCCTCCTATCTTCGTGTCTTTTTAAGTCTCGAAAATAAATTTTCATTCATGTGGGGGATTGTTGGAAAAATGTGTTAAAAATTGCATTAAATGGTGATTTTGGGGCAATTATTTGAGTGGGGTCCACTTTCGATTTGGGTCGGGTTAAAGTGGTTTTGGATTTTCCTTGTTAAGGGCTACAATTCGATATATGGTACACTCAAAACGGATAACAGGTGAATGAGAAATTGATTCTCGAAGTTCACTCGTTGAAATGGAAAAACTAGGAAAATGATGGGTTTCTAGTGTGTTTTATCCCACACCGAAAAAAACTCAAGGGATTTTCACCCCCTTATAAAGGGAAGCCTCTTTTAAGGAGTTAAGATTACTAAGGGTAAAGGCTCTCTCTTACGCGCAGGGGGGGTGCCGATCAAATCCCGAAACGGAGAAGAAAAACCGCAACTCGTGTGCGTTTTTATGTCGTCCGAAAACCTATCATTCAAAGATACGGTCTAATTTTTGTTTCTTCCCGAAACGTTTTATTTTTTCCAGGGCCAGAGTTGCTCGAACTCTGGTGGCTTCGTACCAGAGACGCTCCAACTCTGGTGGAGGTATTCTGGTGGTAGCATCAGAGTTGCTCCAACTCTGATGGGGGTATTCTGATCGCGCACCAGAACTGCTCCAAGCCGTTGCAGCCATTAAATGCCCAACGTTCTTGTCTTTTAATGCAGCGTTAAATGGACAGTTTATGGATGAGTCAATGCCCAACGGATTGGTCATTGATGTACAACGTTCAGGTCCATTAACACCCCATTTAACACACAAAAAATCCTCCTATAAAAGGCTGGCAGGTGCTTTGCAACGAAAACACGGTTTGGACAACGCACAATAGATTCCTCACGAATTTCTTGAGATAAAAACACCTACATCTACTCTCAAATTCCTTCTGTGTTCATACCTGGTTCTCGTTCGTTGGAACTCTTGTTTGTGTGCTCAAACATTAGTTCGTAGTCATCGTAACCTGGGAAATGATTGTTGCAACGCTCCTAGCACTGTGGGAGGCAACAAATACGTTTTAAGGACATCGTGCGTAGCACGAGCTTTGACTAATTCTGCTTCATCTCCTTTCTTGTTTTTCTCTAGTCATTTTATTTAATTAATTTATTTTAATTAATTTTCTTTATTTTCCGAAACACACCCACCAAGACGTCATCGAACAATAAAGTGATTGACATGCATAAATTCTTTTTACTTAAACTATGTTAAAAAAAATCCTAAAAACTACATTAAAAATATACATGCTTCATAAAACCGGAATAATAAAAAGTTAGAACGAAGTATATTTGGTATAATATGAAATATTTAACGAAACTGATTGATAAGAGTAACAAACCAAATCAATAAGTTAACTAGGTAGACACATAACACAGGTCGAGAATAGGCTGAAATTCAATTCTAATGGTTAGAAATGACAAAACTAATATATGAAAATAGCTTAGCAGTATGGGGAATATGATAAATTCTATACATAAAGCTGAATCATCACAACGACTTTGAAATCCACTAAGCATTATCAGCATATTTTGAGTCTGATCGGTAAAATCCTGCAACAACCAAGAGCAGATCTAAGGGGAGACAATTTTATGAGGATCATTAGATTCGAGAACATAATGTAGAAATGGCATGCTTTAAATAATCATAGACACTATTTATACCATTAAATCCATACTATTATTAATCTAAAAATAGATAAAATTCAATAAATTAAATTAAATGACAAAAGGTTTGAAATCAAACCTCTATTAAGCATATATGGCAGAGGAGGAGGCTTTTTTACAGCATTACGGAGTGCGTCGGAGTGCGGCGGCAGAGGGCGGGCGTCATGCGGCATTGTTGTTCCAAGCGCTGGTGAGAGGGTGGGCGAGGCGGCTGGCAGGTGGAACGCACGGCTCGACGTCGATGATGGAACGCAGGGTTTGGAAGGAAGCGTTGCTCGACGTCGCTGATGGAAGAGTTTGCTGAGAGTTGCGATTTTTTTGACGAAAGATGCGTTTTTTTACATCAAACACCTAGCAACATTGTAAGCCTACAATAATTTTGTAGCCATAATTATAGCAATAATACCCAACAACCAAATCATCTTCATCTTCAAAATGAAATCGTCAGTCTTAGCAATCGCCAATAGGATTTCGCCATTTTGTTTCTTCAACTCAGCAATCCCACGCAAGCAAGAGTTAATTTGAGTCTGGAATTCCAATTTATTCACTTTAAAAGCTTCCTCAACGCTTGCAATCTTGTCAAACAGACATTCAATGGTTTCATGGGGCATTCCGCAAGCGCTATCATCAACCAACTCAAAAAAATTACATTTTTCAGCCCCACCTGCAGAATATCGACCGCAACCATGAATTTTTTTGCCTTTGTTCTTCTCTGTAGTTGCTGTCCAGATTGGAGCTTGGATACCACAGTCGCACCTCGTAATCCATTCACTTCGTCCGTCCGTCCTCCTGGTGTTTGCACTGGAGTTGGATTTTGAATAACTCATTCTTACGCAAACCTCCAGCCATGTCGTTCCTCTGTTTAAACCTACTGCCTAAACATATTAAATGAGTGAAGTCAATGGTTTTTAATGACCTGGCATTACCACAGCCCACGCGGAACCAATTGGATGATAAACATCTCCACGTCAGCCTTTATTAACGGCCAATGGGCTGAGGCCCCTGTGGCGCTAATGGAATTGAACCACGAATATTAGTTTGGTAAAAAGTGAAACTCATGACCCTCTCCGCAAATGGCCTCAACCACAGGTAGGTTGTCTGTACTTTTCCCTAATTTTTTTCTCACTTCGAACTGTAATAAAATCGGATTCATTTTTTGTGTACCTCATTTGTATCCCTATATGCGTGGTTCATAAAAGACCAATTGTAATTATTTGATCTTTCCCTAAATCTAATCGTAAAATTGTCAAGAGTTTTGCTAGGAGTACTCCAAAATGTACTCCATTTTTACCCCAACCCCTAATGTGTGGTCATAAATGGGCCAATTCATTTAAGTGGTGCCCCACTTAAATGAATTGACTCATTTATGGTTACACATTAGGGGATGAGGGTAAAAATGGAGTACATTTTGGGGTACCTTTAGCATTTGTGAATTGTTAATTCCGGTCGGGCTAGATAGGGAATCGTGGCTAGGTCTAGTCCATTTATAAAGGAGATAGAATTATCTGAAAGATAGTCCACGGAAGCAGAGGTGGAACCACACCCTACTTTTCAATCTCCGTTTCGCTAGTCCGTGTTTTCCTGAATCACGCAGCGATCAACAAAATTCCTAAATCTCTCGTAAAACCCTTTAATAGAAACCCTAGCCTTCGATCCAATCCTCAAGAATACACTACAGAATACATTACAAGCCAAATTGTAAACAACGCGTATACACATATATAGGACAAAGCTTCGAGCTTTCAACTGAATTTCAAATTTGGGTCTTTGGGTGGATTGGGTGCAATGTCGGTCAATCGGAGAAGGAGCAATGGAGGGGAGAATCGCTTTTATTGTCCGCCGGCGATGAGGAGGCAGCAGCAAATGCAAGCCGCAGCGAAGTCGCAATCTGATAAGAGAACTGGAGAGTCTGAAGATGCAGCATCGTCAACATCAACCACCACCACACCCACCTCAACTGCATCTTTTTCAGCGAATTTGGACCGTTTCTTGGAGTATACAACCCCTAAAGTTCCTGCTCAGGTACTTAAGAGATGTATAAATTAACTACAAGGAACTTGTAGTAATCTTTTTCCCTCTATATATCTTTGCAATTTTTAAAGTGGTATCTTTGGGTCTGTTGAAGCTCAATAATCTATTCTGGCAAATTAAGTAGTGGCAGTTAAGTTGCAAGTTTTCATTAGAAATCTTTAGTAAATGATAACAATGATCTCTACTTATTTTTTCAATCTACAATAAGCATAGAGAGCACGGGTTCCGAGTTCCCGACCTGTTTTCTCATTGTCACGTTCTGCATGTTTATATGCATACCTGGTATAAAATGTACTTTTTTTAGGTTACTTCTCACCATATATCACGTCAAAAATGTTAAATGTCAAGTTTTTAAATTCTTCTATAGATGAAATCAACTTGGAACATTTGGAAATGTGCAGACACGCATGAGATCTTGGAGATATCATGGCAGTGATTTCAGCCCCTACTTCATTTTGGATGATCTTTGGGAATCTTACAAGGAGTGGAGTGCATATGGAGCAGGAGTTCCTCTTGTATTGAATGAGAGTGATTCTGTAATACAGTATTATGTCCCATACTTGTCTGGGATTCAACTGTATATAGACCCATCCAGGCCAGTTGCGGGTTCACGGTAAGATTGTTGTAGATACCATTCGTTTCTAGTTCCTGCTACTTTTTGAATGAAGATTATTTCATTAACTGCATGGAATGCATACGCCCCTTAAATTCTCATTTTATCAGTTCTTAGATGTGCCTTTATGGAGTGATTGTTGGAGCTTTTAGTAGGCCAACCATCTCATTGTGGGACCTGACTCTGAGACACACACTTGTAAATTAAGCAGTCAACAAGTTTTTCTCAAAGCAAACATAAGGGCTAGTTTAGGGTTAGGTTTCTCATTCCCTTCCAATTACAAACTCTCTAACCGAACTCTTACACTATCATATTTGTGCTGCGCATTGCGAAAAAGAGAAAAACAACTTTCAGTTTGAGAGAATTGTCACATAGAGTGATATAGATAAATAAAGTATTTTTGTTTGATAAAGATGAATACAACAAAGCTTGACCCATTTGATGATGATGATGTGTTTGATTTTTTAGGGGTAGAGCCGAGGGTGGTATGGTATTGATTGATGATTAGTTAGTCGGACTTGCTATGCTAAAACATGTTTCTTTGATAAACTAATTAAGAGCCTGTTTGGTAACACTAAAATTAGTTGGATCGGCTGATTTTGCTGAAATCTACGAAGTTTTGGCTGAACTGGATGGATTGGCTGATTCTGTTGATTTATGAAAAAATTATGTTTGAAATTTATTTTATTAATAAAATAAAAAAAATTATATGAAAATAACTAAAATGTCTTGAGAATATGATATAATAAAGTAAAATGGCTCACTAAATTGCCTACGCTTCTTTATTGTGAAGCTATAGTCAGTCCATGTATTTTTCGACGCGATTTTCGCTATGGTTCATTCGGAAACAGTCTCTCTGTGCTTTAGTACTGTGGTAAGACTGCGTACATCCGACCCCCCTTACCCCACCGTAGGTGGGAGCCTTTGCGACACAGGGGTAATGATGATGGTGATGATAATGAAAATAGCTAAAATGGTCCTCTACAATAACTTCAACCAATTCAGCCAGAAAAATAATCTCAACCTTACTTATTTTGATTATTACACAATTCTGCATGTGAAATCAAAAGTTACGTGTTTGGCGAAAAAGTTGGCTGATAAGGCTGATAAACCGAAAAACATGGTCAGCAAACGGGCTCTAAAAACTAGATGTTAGAACATTCACTTAAGGCAGTGTGAGCTTACTCAAGTTTGTTAAAATGTCCCCTACCTTTTATCTAAATAGAAATACTCAGATCTGTAAGCAACTTAGTTTAAGAGGGAACTCAGGGAAGCTATCTTGATAGTTTTCTTTTTTCTGGATACATTTATCCCTCATCTTTGCATGTTTATGTCAGCTATAAATGGACAACTAGACTACTAGCTTGAAATCTCGCCTTTTGTAATGGTGCTAAATTTCATGTTAAACTCTATTTTTCAACTGTATGTGAGGCTTATAGGGTGACACACTTCTCTGCCTTATATGTGGGATATCCTCCTATATTAAAGCTTGTTAGATGTACTGATGTAGTAATTTGTACCGATTACATCCTTGTTGTGTTCTTGTTTGGTTATTATTGGAGACCAAGTAAGGAAACTGATGCTGACACATATAGGGAGACAAGTAGTGAACATGTTGGAAAGCGGAATCAGCATAATGCAACTGCAAATGGATTTGATAGACCGTCATCAACAAACAATTCCTCCTTGAATGAGACAAGTCATCCACCTGGTGTACTTATGTTTGAGTTCTTGGAACAAAATCCACCACAGAATCGTCAACCTTTGACTGATAAGGCAAGTAATCTTTACATTCATGGGATTAGAAGTATTTTTTTGTGTATCATCAAAGAGTTATGCATCTTATGTTTGCTTGTCCGTGTAACAGATCATAAGTCTTGCATCTCAATTCCCTGAGCTGAGGACTTATAGGAGTTGTGATCTGACACCTGCTAGTTGGATTTCCGTGGCTTGGTAACTACTTAGCCCCCTCATGCTCACACATCTGGTAGATGTGCCAGTGCATTGTAATAACCGAATGACTGTTGTTCTTATTTTGAAGGTACCCAATTTACCGTATACCTATAGGCCCCACACTGCAGAGCCTTGATGCTTGCTTCTTGACATTTCATTCTCTTTCAACATCACATGATAGTGAGTTTTCACCTTATTCATAATAGTTTATATATTTTCGAACCCTAAGGGTTCGTGAATCGGTAAATATTAGGTAAGAAAGGGATAGGAAATAGAGAGGAATATGAGAAGGAAATTTAAGGACAGGCGCATACTAAATATATTTATTTTAGATTTTTTTCAATTCATTTTATCTATTATTTTATTATATATATGCACTAAAAAATTTAAATATATGTAACAAATTAAATCATATTCCATTTGAATTATCTATGGTAAATCCATACATGACAAAAGAACCTTCCTTGGCATTTCTTTTTTCTCTAGAATATTTTGGATCCAAATATGCATTGATTTCATTTTGTCCAGGTACTACTAGGAGGAATGACTTGCTACATAATCATGGATCAACAAGCAGTAGTAGCAGTAGTAGTAGAGGGATGCATAATGCTGATAGTACTAACAATAATAACAACACCAACAATAATAATTATAATAATAAGAATGTCATGCCCGTCAAGCTCCCACTTCCAACTTTTGGGCTTGCATCTTACAAGTTTAAAGTTTCTTTCTGGTCTCCAAGTGAAGAATATGAATCTGAAAAGGTCAATTCTCTTTTACTAGCTGCTGACAAGTGGCTCCGACTATTACAAGTCGACCACCCTGATTACAGGTTCTTTGTTTCACGTAGCACATACTTTAGGTGATCTTTCAAATCTCAATCCACACATGACTTAAGTTTCCCCTTAAGAAGAGATCATTCCCTCCGGTGTGTTCATCACTGACTGTGAAGCCTATACTATATGGATTGTCTTCATTCCCAGAATCACAATGCAGTGTTTTCAGTCTTTTTCATTGCAAAAGAATGCTGTAGTTACTGAAGTTGTGTCTATGGTGGTACCCATAGGTTATAAGTACTTTTCGTTGTGGTTGTCACATCCAATTTTTTGTAACTTAACTTCATCAACAAATAGGGGTTGATGTATCTGATAATGAGGGAGGGAGGAGGTAGCCATATTTGTAAACAACTCTTTAAATTCTTGTATCATTAGTAGTATTATTTATCATTATTATTGTACTTGTACAGAGTAGATTCCACAATGTTTGTGTTAGCTCTTCACTGGATGGATATTTGAGAGTTCCAGACTACCAAATGTTTGCATATTTCTATTTGCACTCTGTGATGCCATTCCACGTAACTTATATTTCTATTTACACTGTTCTTGTACCAGTTATACTCACTTAGTTGAGTGTAATTGTGTAATTGGTGTGTGTGTGTTCAGGGGATTTTGGTACCAATACGAGCAAATTGCACACTAAAGCACTTTTACTTAAAATTTTGGTTTATTTTCTAGAATGTCACTACATTTTTTGAATCAAGTTGTGGAATTGTCGGGGCATTTTCAACTTCTATATCTTTAATGTGATGTTCCCAATCAGTTTGAATTTTGTTTGGTCAGCTAGATTTTTTATTTGATTCGAAATCGTATACATACCTAGAACTCCTAGAAGGCAGCATTTGACACTGTCATGTAAAATTTGCTTGCAGAGTATACTATTTTCAATCCGAAGGTCCCAAGTGACAAAGAATAGACTTTTTATACTACGTATATAATAAGATTGATCAAAGATCCGAGGGTATTGTTTTAAAAAAAGATCAGAGGGTATAAATAACATACTTATCCATATAATAAGCTGGGCTGTTGGTTTTTATTTGTTTGTTTTATTTGTTAGATGCAATTGCTTTTTTATACGCAGTAGTTTGCAGGACTTAAATACATCATATACACGTGTTTCAAGCCATTCATTCATACACACATTAATCAAGTATATAGACTAAATTGGCCATTATCAGTACAATTTACATATTGATATGCTTTATGCCACCAAATGCCTCACAGGCTCACACCATCGCTCTTTCCTCGACTGCATAACCAGCATTACAGCTGCATATTTGCTTAGGCGCTTTTAAAAAAAGTAGACAGCATAAGAGATTGAACAAATTCACATTTCTCTGCATTCTCTTCTTGGTTCTCAGAAACTTGAGATGGTACACCATTTCTGTTTACATGCAATGAGAAGTCAGTAATCACCAAGACTAGCTGGGAGGGAGCTAAAATAATGAAAAACAAATGAGCAGAGCACATAATTGCCATTAAAGAGAATAACATGGGCCTAGTAAGCTGAACGGATGTATCGTAGCCTTATTTTTCGTTAGGGCATGGCATCATGAGCCTCTTGACCGCCACACGTTTAATCCGTATAGAGACACAAACAAATCAGAAAGTGCACAATCGATACTCATAGGGAAATACCTTTCTAGAAAGTCATCATGTGAGCTTTCCTTCATTGAGGACTCCCCGGGGTAAAAACATGGTTGAACATCAGGAGGTTCATCAGCCACAGGTGGATTGTACATAAAAGATGATAACACAGGATCAGTTTTTGTATTCAATGAAACTTCATGGAAGGAACCCTTATGGAATGATGTCATGTTTCCTTCCTGTAGCTCCTTCCTTAAAATAGTATCTGTTGAATTAGAGCCTCTCTTACATCTCCTTTTGTTTTGCATATCAAGGAAAGTTTTGAATTTAACATTATTCCAGGAATCTAATTAGGAGGCTAGAAATACATAGATGGGAGAAGAAGGCAATGAAGAAGCCTGCATTACTGCCCTTAAAAGATCATCATACAACAAACAACATTCAAATTAAACCCTTGGCTATAGTGGCATTTCTACATCTGCTATGACCTTTTTAATCTGATGACATTAAACGATGACTTCAGTGTTGCAATCTCAAACTTAAAAGGTCGGAGGGGCTAAATGTAAAATGTCAGAATGACAAATGCTGGACTAACTAACCAAAGATTAGCAAGAAAATGATGCACACACATCACACACACGGGATATTGAGGATAGACATGTTGACAATCATTAAGGATATTCTTAGAAGACTTCCATGCTGCATCGTTATATGGCCAACCAAATCCATCCCCACCCGTGTTCCGCAAAATTTGCATACCTGCATGTTCAAAATAACACAATAATAATACTAATACTAAAAATAATAATAATATCTTCGACATAAATAACCATTGCCAGGAAATCTAGTTGTGTTTAACACACAATGTGTGTGCGCGCGCTATGAAGAGATAGGGATCAGACCAAACCAACTACTCAAGCAAGGAGATTAGCCCACTACTAGGCTAACCATGTTCAACACACAATGTATTTGTCCTCAATGATAGATAGGAATCAAACCAAACCAAATACTCAAGCAAGGAGATTACCCACTACTAGGCTAACCATGAACCTCAATATACAGAGTATATAACAATTTTCAGTCAGCACTTCATCACTTTCTAGATACACAGCACATGAAATTCTACATATCTTATACCAAACTAAAGATTGAACTCCAGAGTTGCAACTGCGTGAAATTTAATTGCTTAAAGGGAGGAGCTCAGATTTGCTTGGTTTCCATTCAACATGAAATGAAAGAACACTGATAACTGTTGTTATAGAAAACACTTCTTCTCAAGGCCTTTCTTGCCAAAAATGTATATCCTCTCAGCTACCAAAAGTATACTAGTATTATATAGGGAATTCCAGATGCCAGTGGGAAGGATTAGTGAGAGAGTAGAAAATAGTATTTTGCTGTTTGTTCCTATTTGCTAACATAGTTCCAGGCTTCCTCATGTATGGAACACAATATCACGTGCAAGTTCTAAGAAGCCCCAAACATCATAGTCAGTACATAATAGGCACATGAACGTAACTCTAGCGGCATCTCCTCATTGGCATCATACCGATTCCCCAAGTTATATATACCTACCACATAAGGAGTAAATCTTTCATTTCCAGTTTGAAACTCTATAACCCCTTTTTCCAGAATAAACTCTAAATACAATTCTAACAATCTTTTCACAAGATCTAGAAATATTGCAAATAGTGAAAAAGAAAACCCAATTTTCTAGGTTTGGAGTTTTCTTGAAAAGTACTCTGTAAATAGACTAGCATTTAACTTAAGGTAAATATATACCCATTTAAGATTTTATTTCAGTGTTACCTCTAAACAAAAAAAAAATGGGCAAAAGGAAGCCAGAAACAAAAGCTGGAGTTTTGAGTAATCATTCACAAAAAGTAGCATTTGCATCCTTCCAAGAAAGAATTGCTATCCAAACTAAGGCAGGGGAACAGAGGGTTAAACTAAAAATAAAAACACAAAATCCGCAAAATGTCCCTCCACTTTTTTCTTTCCAATTCCTTCTACAGAAAATGCAGTTTCCTCAACTTCAATGGGCACTCACTCTTCCCAAAATAGGACTAAGGGGCAGTTTACTAATGACTTAATGTATTTAATGAGAAAGAGGACTTAAACATTCAATCAATAAGTAATGTTTACTACACTCGCCTTATTCATTCAATCAAAAAAATTACTTAATCATTAAGCTGTGAAAAGACACTCCTTCCCGTTGAGACGTTCATTAAGATGCATATTGGGCCAGTTTTTTGATACCTAATATGGAATAGATATATGTTAATAAATGACATTATTCATTGTCAATATAACTTAATAAAATAATAATAAACTGATTATTTTACTCTATTCAGATGGTTTACCATGCACACAAAATAAACAGTTTCATATACAAACATTACTTAATCCAGACATACGTCTTAATACAGATAGACGACTTCATTCAGACATGACTTGATAGAAAAAAAGTAAACAAACCTCAAAGATATATATATATACCTACCACAATGAATCCTAATTTTGAGGAAGAGTAAAAAATAAACAATACACAACAATCATTAATTATGAAAATAAGGCATGTTTGTTTAGATATTCATTTTGTTAGTATTTACTTCGTATTTTAAACATTTATAATAAAGTATAGTAATTGTGTGATTATGTTTTAACTTAACGCACTTTTCATATTAAAAGATAAATGAAAAGAAAATAAATCATTAAGTTTAACATATTGATTCAATAAGTTTCAATAGCATTTTTTATCTCTTAATATACTTTAATTGCAATTTTGACAGAGGAAATTCTCAAAAGACGAGACTTTTTTGTCTGACAAACAAAAATAGGGAAGTTGAGATTGTTGTACCAAAACATTGGATTCGGAATTCCGAATGGAGAAGAAAACAAGGGTTGGAGGTTGGAGGGTTGGGTTGGGTAGAGGTGTGTGGGGGCTAGCAAAATATTAATTTCCAGTTTTTTGTTTTTTGAAGTGTTGTGACTTATTTATTTGTACTCCATTTTTAACAAAAAATATATCAAAATTCATATTTTTTATGATCTTTCACATGACACTAATATGACATATATAAAATTTAAAAAAATGAAGTTTTAACAGTAGGATATTTTCTATTACAAAATTTTTCTTAAATAGATTAAAGTGCTAACATTAAAATCTCATTTTTAAAATAATTGAAACATGTATTAAAATTTACTTTGACGGTGAGATCTTTATTTTAGCACTTGAGTCTATTTAAGAAAATTTTTGGATCTGAAAACATTCAACAGTTGAAACATAAAAAAAAATTAAAGTTTATATATAGATTATTGGTGCCATTAGAAAGATTACAAAAAGTTATGAATTTTGATATACTTTTTTGTAAAATTTAGAGTACAACTAAAAATGTTAAATCAATTAATAAAAAAATGGGATTTTTACATTTCCCTTGCCCCTCCCCCCTGCCAGCCCATCTACCCACCCCCACCATCCTAATAGGAATTACCCTTTCCGAATCCCCCCTTTTTAGAAAATATAGCAAAATTCTAGTATTTTTGGCATGAATGTTACTTATTTCCGTTAAATAAGAAAAGATTAATAAATTTGATTTTAAACAATTCTTAGTTTATTCTTACTTTATTAATTCAATATAAATCACATAAACCACTTCTCTTAATAACCACACATTCTCCTCATGTATTAATGTTAAAGGGACCGATGCAATAGTTTGATACTATTAAATATTACAAGAAGAAAGATGTTCAAAACCTTGCAAATGCCAGTATATATATTCCAATTGAAAAATAAAACCACAAACTAGTTAGAGAATGTAAGCTATATATAAAACCAGCATGATGGTGGGAGATTTGAACCAAATGTAAATCAGAGATGTGAAATCTCTTGTAAAAAAACTAGTTTCAAAGAATAGAACAAACTTAAAATCTTCTTTATTGGTCTTGAGTTTAAGTTACAATGGAGTGCATTTGAGGGCTATTATGAAAAGATAAATGATGATCTTCTAGAATCTAGACCTTTAGGGCTAATTCGAGTCTTGAGCTTTTTTCAGAGTCTCAAATGGTAATGATAAAATGATTTCTTGTTGGAGACCTTGTTATGTTCGATTAATGAGTGATGGTTCTCTAGAGAGCTAAGTTCTAAATTTGAAGATACTAAATCAATGAGTTGGGAGTGTTGTATTTACTTCAAATGAGGATGATGACCTAATGAATTATTCAAACAATTCATATTTACTTCTCTTGGGTTTAGAAGGGCTATCAAGCAAAACTTATAAAGAGCTATGTAGCATTTGTTTAGAGTCATATGAAATGTTGTGCTGGCATCACGACCGAGTGACCGACTCAATGTATTCTCACGTGTGGCTTTCAAAATCACTTCTATTATCAAGGGTGAGAATTTAATTACGAAAATTCTTAGTGTACATTAATTGTACACAATTTGTACACCATATAAAAGGCAAAAAATCAGTTCAGATTTTTTTTACCCCTTTTCCCCACCTCTCTCCCCCACGTGCGACCCACTCCCCAAAACTTCCGCCTCTCCAATTCCTTCTTTTTCGCCATTTTTTTCTCTTTCTTTGCGCATATCTCCCCCATGCCGTTCTTCTTCTTCTTCTTCTTCGTCCAGCATCCCCGGTCTAAAGACGTCGTCCTCTTCTCGCACAGACCGTCGTCGTCACGAAGCGCCAATCTCGACTCCCTCACTTCACTGCGAAAGGCAGCGTCCAGTTTCCACTTGAAGAAGGCACCAACCACTATAGTCCGTACGTCACTGTCATCGTTTGATGAGGCTTCAAAGAAAAGGTAATATCCACTTCTTGAACACATTTGTGAGTAATATTGTTGAATGTCACCCCCTATTTTGTGGTTTGTGTTTGTTGTTAATTTTAATTATTATTTTTGAAATCATTATGGTATTTTCAAAGTTTGCACTTGAAATATTGAGTTTCATGAAGTGAGAAACACGCTGTAATGGTGGTTTGGGATCCTTAAGGGGCCTGATCGTAGGATTTTGATTTTGTCTGGGAGATCGAAATATAACATCTATGGACATGCGGTTTAGGATGTACAATTGATTTCGGTGGAAGTCGTTTTGTGTGTTTACATGTGACTTGATTTGTCCGTAGTTTTGATGTGTTGTTTGTCTTTCTTGATAATTAATTATTTTTCGAAATCAGTAGGGTATTTTCGAAGTTTACACTTGAAATATTGAATTTGATGAACCTAGAAAGACAGTGTACAGTGTACTGGAGGTTTGGCGTTGTTATAAGGTCTGTGCACAGGCGGTTTGGGGTGTACAATTGAATTTGGCGTAACTCATTATGTGTGTACAAATATGACTTCATTTGTGTTATTCGTAGGAAGAAGCATGAATTGCTCATTCCCGTTGAGTCCCATTTCCCGTCCCTATATTCTTTGTGCTCCTTTTTTGGCAAATTGGGAAACTTGTTGGATTCCCTACCCATCAGTCAGCGGAAGTTGTTCAAGAAGTTTCCATGGGGACATCTCGCTAACCCTCCAGACCTCCAATTTTCTGGCCAGATTGTTCACATGTTGTTGTTGCGGCTGGTTCAACAACAACTTGTGGATGAGTTATGGTTTTCCATAAGAAGGAAGATTTATAAGTTCACTTTTAAAGATTATTGTAAAACTACCAAATTGCCCGCGTACACCACCCGACCCACATTGGTTAAAAAGAATGAGAAAGGTAGTGTGGCATATTTGTTCTTTAAAGGAAACAAGCATGTGACATACCAAGAGTTGAAGGAAACAATGGAGGCAGTTAATTCGAAGAAGAGGATGGTCCCCTTAGCATTGGTGAAGTTGGCTGCACTTTTCGTGGTTGATGGTGTATTGCTGACTAAGGACCACACAACGAAGATCAATGCTGATCATTTCTCTTGGGTCGAAGACTTTGAGAATTTAAAAAAATATCCTTGGGCACTTGAATCGTATAACCTTATGGTCATCAATATGAAGTCGGATGTGTGGTCAACCGAACAAGTTTGAGGTTGCGATAGCTAAGAATCCTGAGTGCAAGAACACTAAGTTCTCTATTTCGTCCTTACCCCACGTCTTGCAGGTTTGTTTTGACATGGTTTGTTTACCGCACAAATCGTCTGTGTGAGAATCTTATTTGTCTGTGGCCAGACATTTCAATAACTTTTTTTGTGGTTGTGTATACAGGTTTGGGCGTATGAGAATATCCATGGACTTGCTGGAAAATGTGGTTAATGAGTGAAATCTGAAGAAGCTATTATTTTGAATTGGAAAGTTGTTGGGTTATTTTGACTATTCTTCTTTGAAGGAACTATTATTTCACGATGAGCCTTTACAAGAAATGGTAAAAAGTTGTTTTTTTGGAATAATATACATGAAACTATTATTACACATTCGAGTCTAATTATTTGACTTTGTACTGTAGGATGAGGAGGAGGATGCAGAAGAAGATGAAGAAGAAGATGAGGATGTGAAACTGTTCCGGAAACTGAAGGTTATGCAACAACTTTCAAATGTTAGGGATGACATTGAACAACTTAGGACAAATGTTGGAGGTGTTGATGCCACACTTGGTGAGGTGAAAGACATGTTATCCAAGCTGATGGGGGTGAGTGTGCATGGCTAACAAGAAGTGTCCACTGAAGAGAAGGTATGATTTCCAAATGTTTGTGCAGGCCATTTATTTTGTGTGTGAAGTAATATGTAATTGTCTGTATACATAGATGTTATTGTATGTGTACTTAGATGTAATTGTCTGTGAAGTTATTCACATTTTTCTGCGGCGTGCTTTACAGGCTGGACAAGAGGATGAAGTTCAAAGTGTGGAGGCTAATGTGAAGCATGATTCTGTTGAAGATAATCAGGGAAATGAGCATGGCATGCCAGAAGTGGCGACTGCAGAGAAGGTATGATTGTCAAATGTCCGTGAAAGCCATTTAATTTGTATGTGAAGTAAGGTGTAACTGTTTGTGTACACATATGTAATTGTTTGTGTACTTAGATGTTATTGTCTGTGAAATTATTCACATTTTGTCTGTGGCGTGGTTTACAGGCTGGACAAGAGGATGAAGTTCAAAGTGTAGAGGCTAATGTGTAGCATGATTTTGTTGAAGATGATCAGGGAAGTGAGCATTGCATGGTGGTTGTGGCCACGGCCGAAAAGGTAAGCTTTGCAATTATCTGTGCAGGTCATTTGTTTTGTCTGTGTACTTACATGTATTTGTCTGTGAAGGAGGAGGATGTTGAATATATTGAGGACAGTGTGAAGGATGATGATGTTGAAAGTATCATAACAGTCCATTTATGGATCCGTGTGCTAAGCGGGTGAAGGCCAGTGAACATGGAAACAGGACAGAAGTCCAGGAGGAAAATAAAGTCTTGAATGAGCTCAAGAGTTGGGTGGAAGCCCATGCTAGTGACGAACTGATGTGTGTCATGTTGGACATTCCAGGTTGTGACACTGTTGATAGAAAGTTCTTCCGCGAACTGATAGACCAAG